GAGTTCACCAAGGAGCTCGCCAAGGAGCTCAGCAACTCACCAAGGAGCTTGACAACTCTCCAAGGAGCTTGCCAAGGAGCTCGCCACCAAGGAGCTAGGCAGCTCTCCAAGGAGCTCGCCACCAAGGCAGCGCACTCAGCAGCTCATCAAGGTGGCTCACTACTAGGGTGTTCATCACCAAGTAGCCACCAGGGAGCTCGTCGCCATAGGCAGCTCGCCACTTGCAGGGTAGCTCGGTACAGAAGATCTGTTCGGCATATCACAGGAAGATCTCCTGCCTGACAACCGTACATGACAGATCTGGTGGCAGTGCCCACATCTCTTGCCAGGCGGCGTCGTGCCTGCCGTCTCTGAAAAGCATGGCACGCCTGACGAGTCCGTACCCTGTAGCAGCAGCCTGCACCTGCCACCTCAGTCCTGGCAGTAATGACTAGGACAGTGGCGGTTACGCCTGATGTGATTGGGCACTGCTATATAAGGACTCTGACCCACAAATCCAAGGGGAAGAGAATGAAAAAATGGAGGTAATCCCTACTCTCTAGTTCTCTCATTCCTCTAATATCATCTTCAAGCCCTCTACAATCAGAGTGCTAACTTAGGCATCGGAGAGTCCCCGCCTGGTAAATACCCTCGGGCCCCCTGGTTCAGTTCCCACAAGTTCCTCAATCTCCCGCCGCCTACAAAGAGGAGGAAAGATGGAGTTCTCGTAGGTTCCTCAAGCTCCCGCCTCTTACAAAGAGGAGGAAAGATGGAGTTCTCGCAGGTTCCTTTGCTCCCACCGCCTACAAAGAGGAGGAAAAGATGGAGTTCTCACAGGTCCCTCAGCTCCTGCCGCCTACAAAGGAGAGGAGATCACCTCATGTAGAGGGCAGTTGGGTCGCGCTACACCAGGGAGCTCCACCATCCTCTGAGTTACAGGCCGCCTAGGAGCAGGTCAAATGACGAGTCCACCAAGGTAGCTCACCACTAAGGAGCTCAGCATAGCTCTCCCTCGGGCTGTTCGCCATCAGGGAGCTCGGCATAGCATGGGTAGCTCGACATAGCTCTCCCCCAAGTAGTTAGCCATCAGGGAGCTCGGCATAGCTCTCCCCAGCTCGACATAGCTCTCCCCCAAGCAATTCACCACCAGGGAGCTCCACCATCCTCTCCTGGGAGCAGGTCAAATGACGAGGTACTTAGCCAAAAAAATTGATACATCACAAAAATTGGCACGTGACCAGAAACGGTTACATCAGCTACTGATGTATTATAAGAGATGATCGAGGCAGGATTATAAATCTAAGCAGTAATGAAAATAATGATTGTTCCATAAATGTTGTTGAGGCATGAGCAGCCCTCGAAGCTCATGTTTTGGTTAAGAATCTAGTTGGGATCAACATCGTTATCGAAAGTGACTCAAAACTGATCGTGGACTGTTTGAGGGGCAGAGATACTCCACCTTCGACAATAAAAAATGACATCAAAGAATTAATACTATTTTATCTGTAGGAGTTGGAATTTTATTGGCCGTTTGGCAAATCTTTTTTGAAAGATCTTTTTGAAGCTCTAATAGTCAAAAGACAATGCAAGCTTTTGCATCAAGATCTTAATAGCTTGAAGACCATTTGGTTAAGGTGCGTCTGTCCCCACATCTTTCTGTGCGAAGATGAATTGAAAAAAATGTGAAAATTTCCATTTGGAGCTTCCCGAAAATAGACCGAAATGAGCTTCCTATGTCTTTTCGAGGTTACGGCTTTCAGTGATTAAATCTTTTCCCAACCGAACGAAAAAAAACTAAAACGCGAACTGGGCTTCTAAAAATCTGACAGTCTGCACATAAAGACGTGCCAAACAGGGCTTTAATGTTAAATATGCTCACGTATGTAAGGAGGTGAACTTTGCAACTGACTGACTAACCAATGTAGCTCATGGCGTGGTGTCTACAGAGTATCTTTTGTCTAATAGGTCATTAAAATTCATTTGTTTGTGATTGTTGGGGGACTTGGGGGAGGGCTACCCCATGTTGGAGTCCGAATTCGGTGGACCCTTCGGTTCACGGTGCACGTGAACCCTCCAATAGGAGGGTTGCACGTCGCCTCTTCGGCTCTCCTCTATTCCTTTACACTAAGTAACGCTCAATTCGCCGTTTTCCTTGTCAGCATGGTTCAACCGGGCAGTAAATCAATCGGAAAGAAAAAGCCAAGCTTTCCCTCTTCGTTTGAGCTCCCTATCTCCCCATTTTCACCCGAGCCCTAGTTCAACAACACAAGACCACCGGCGGCGTCCGCATTGTTTCACCGAGCTCTCAGCCGGCGATCTTCTTTTGTACGCTCTCGAACTCAGCTATCCGGCACGGTATCGTAATCCCACCTGGGCAGTGGAACCCATACTCCTCCTCGGCCTCCCTCAACAGGTCTGCGAATAAGGGGTGATTGAAGTAGATAACCGGCACCAAGAACCGATGAAGACCGTCGTCTTTCTGACCCACGTATACCACCATGTGTCCTTTCGGCACTTGCACCGGTTTATCTTCCAATGCCTCCCGATCATAGCGACTGTAGCCGGAGGCTGATGACTTGTTGGAAGAGCAGAGTCCCTTCGCCCCTCGCTTCAGGCATTTACGCAAGTCGCAAATTTTGGATATGGCCTTGCTTTTGCCGCTCGGAGGATCCAACTCCAACCGGCGGTAGTCATCTGGCTTTCGATTCGGCCTGACTACCCATCTAAACACCTTAACCAGCTTGCGACCCAACTTGAAACCTCTCGTCTTCCTCATAGTGTGTGCAGTGAGTGAAGAGAAAGATGAGACAGACAGCGAGAGAATGGGAGGTAGACTATGTACCGATATTGTTGTAATTGGCTTTGTTTAGGAGAAAGGCCATAGGTCTGCGATCGACGTGGTGAGACGGAAGAGAGTGAGATAGGCTTCAGAGAGAGAAGTGGGGATATTTGACATGGTAGGAAGAATGAAGTGTGTTAGAGAAGGAAAGTTTCATTCAAATCTTCAACAATCAATTACTTATAAGGAATCGACTATGGCTTTTAAGGCCTTCTCCTCCTCTTCTTCTCTCTGGGAATTCCCTCGCTGACGTTCACTTGTTTTTAACCTCCAATTTTATGGGGCTTGTGGAGGTGGAGGAGATGGCGGTTGCGGTGGTATGGCGAGATTCTTTGATTGGAACAGAAGAATAAGGTTCCTCCGCAAGAGGATTACAGAGCTTTTTTATAGATGCCAAAGCAGTCAAAACCACGAACGACGAATTAGAATTAGAAAATCGAAGAGAGAGAGAGAGAGAGAGAGAGAGAGAGAGAGAGAGAGAGAGAGATTGATGAAGCTTTATTAGTTGGTCGGCGGAAGACTGGAGAGATCCATAGTCCGGATATGGGAGAATGGGAGGGAGAGATTGGAGAGCTTGATGAAGCTTTYTAGTCTTTTAGCGTCCGATTCAACCAGACGGAAGAAATTAACGTTAAACTCTGTTATGTTAAGGTTGGTTAAAAGGAGTGAACGTGTATACCTCCTATTGGAGGGTTCACGCGCCCTGTGAACCTCAGGATCCACTGAATCCGGACTCCCCATGTTGTTCTTGTGTGCCCTTTATTTCAGTTTTATCAGGAAAAAAAAGGCAAAGAATCCAAGCTTTTAACCTTGTACAGCAAAGCGTGGCAAATACATAACTATTTATTAATGGAAACGACAAACATAAAAAAGCATGCRAAAAAAGAAAAAAAAAAAGGAAAATATCACATTTTGTCTAACGCCTTTTTTGGTGGAAATCTTCTGTAGCCATCGAATCTCCTTATTTAGCAGTCTCCTTCCTGCAGCAGAATATTAAAATGGTTATCTTTTTTTATTCGATAATTAAAATGGTTATCTTTTTACTTTTTAATCATAACAAATCAAAGTTACTGTGGGATCGATTTATTTGGGTCTAAGTATAATTAATTGGAGATGTCAACGGATCGGACTAGACCCAACCCAACTAAAAATAGAAGGAATATCGAACCTGACCCAACCTGTTTCATATACAATGCACCCGTACTTAAAAAAGCAAACCTATATATAAAGATTTCAATGTTGCTATGTCAACCGGTAGGATTCATCACAAGTCTACAGTGGTCGGAGCATGATCTGAAACCCGGCCTATTCTCTTAACCCAACCCTAAACTGATGGAGTCACGTCAATTGGGTCCGTCTGCCACATAACTTGATCCAATGGCATTCCTATAGACGTGGTAATTGGCTTGGGTTGGGTCAGGTTTGAGCCAATTCAATGCATTTTTGGCTCGTTTTGGGTTGGATCGGTAAAGGCTAGATCCTAAATCCAAATATTTAGGTTAGGTTAGGGTTGATCCATCAGTCTCATGGGTCATATGGTTTATTGTCAACTGGTCATTGACCAAATTAATGGTTTTTTATCAAGAATATGAGTGTAACCATTTGATTCAACTGGTTGGAATGGTTCAACCATCTGGATCAACACAAGTTTAAAAACAGTGGTTTGAAAATAGTGACACGTGACCCGACCTGTTCCATTGGGGTTGGGTGAGAGTCAGCTTCTATTTGGGTCACTATATAAGAGATCCAAACCCACTTTCTTGGGTTAGGTCAGTTCAGGTTAGCAGGTTGGGTCAACTTTTTGCCACCTCTACATGTACATCTCTAAGTAGAATATCAGGTTTTTGTACGAGAAAGATGCACTGGAATAAATCATTTAGTTTGATACTTCAAAAATCTCTGCTTAGTTCGAATCTATGCTTATTGATAACAACTAACAAACATAACAAGAAATAGAGGATACGGCTCAATCTAGAAAGAGTACAAATATAAATACAAAAATATGTAGAGTGTAAGTTCTTATATTTTGTATGTATTTACACTGTGCATATTTTATATTTGTACTCTTTCCACACTGAGCTACCGGACACGGGCTCTAATATCTCGAGTAAAGCCACCCCCTCCACAATCACAACAAATAAAGAGGTAAAAAAAGCAGAATCAACATCAATTATGCTTGTGATTATACACAAAGTTAGGGGTGGAGAAAGAAAAGATTAAATAGAAAGAATATATCCCTTCTCCAATAAAATAAAATAATTTGTAAAACATTTCACCCCTTAGTTCCTCGTTGTTAGTTTTGCATTACTCATTAAAGAATTTACTCTTAAATGCGCCAGTTCACTAAATGCACTGCATGAATACAAGATGCATAATTGCACATGTAGTGTAGGGCCATCCAAGAAAAAGCCAAACACCAAAAGATTGACATGACTAATAGAGTAATAGTTCTTTAAGGCCGAATTTGGTTGCAGTGCAATTTTATTTTATTTGCAGTAATACAAATGTATGAGAGTGCAAATAAAAAAAAAGTACAAATTCTTGTTTAATTTTGTTTTGGGTTTGATTTACTTCATTTGTACAGCAAAAATAGATCAGAATTTACACTCAAATTGCACTATCATAGTCTTGCATCAGTGCAAAATTATTTGCATTGCAACCAAACACAGCTTTAGCTTTCAAGAAAGGAATAGTTGAGATCTTGCACGTTTTAGGCAAATCATCCATCCCCATCCACTTTCTATTGACGGACTGGACAGGTTTCAGCTCAGAAACCTTTGCCATATCTTCAAAATATAGCCTGATCTTTTCATTGAACATTAAAACTTAGAGGAAGTCTAATAATTTCACTTTGGAAAAACTTAGAGGAAGTCTAATAATAAATGACAAATCTAGACAGATGGACATGCAGATTGATGAAGACTTGGGTTGAGGCAGAAGGGTTAATGGATATGGAAGAATCAAGTGGGGAAACTTAATTACCTTAACACGTCTTGGGTTGAGGAAGCTTGCATTTCGCAGGGAGCTGTATGGCAAGCTTGGGGTTAATCCCAAGTGAAGGCAGCAATTTGGAGTTCTTATAGGAGCAAAGGCACTTCAAGTCAGCATGAGAGAGTGCAGAGCAGCAGTCTCCAGAAGGCGGAGAAGGCTTTGTGCCAGTTACAGAAGGCATGCACGCCATAAGACTCGCTGCAGGCATGTTGCAGATGGTCTGTGAATATGACACCATCACTTCATTTCCTAGAACTACAGMAAGCACAAAGGCCACAACTGTGAGCTTTCGGAAAGCCTCCATCTCTTACCGAATTGAAGCTCCTCTTCTCTTTCCTTCGATCTCCTACTCCTAGTGTTTCGTTGTTTATGTTGCAGTACTGTGCAGCTATCAAGTGCCATATAAATAGGCCACATTCACATATCAAGACGAGGATTTTCTGGAGCCTTGCGCGATTTAGGGCTTTGGGTTTGCCATGAATTAGTTGATGTGAGTGCACAGTGGCAACTGCATTATGGAGTCACGGGCGTGAACTGTTGCAGAAGACAACGTACGTTCTTGGTTTTACTATGAAAAATAATTCTTGGTTTTACTATGGATAATTAAGCCACGTCTCTCGTGCGTGTCACGGGTTTCCCTCAACCCTAACCCTATTCAATCCACGCTTAAAATACATGATTTCCAAACCTGATCCGACGTGATTTGTAGCATTTAAATTGCATTTTCTTAACATATTTTGAAGATCTAAAATTCATTAATTTAAATTAAGAAATTATTTTATAGAATCTAAGATATCACTTTTCGTATTAAAGAAAAAGAAAAAAATCAAAATTAACATGTAAATAAATCTTAAACTTTAAAGTTATAGAATTAGAAGACAAAATGTTATAAGAATATGTAGAGTATCATGACCCAATGGATAATTCAGCAAAAACCCGAACTTGATTAGGACTGAATAATCAAAATCCTAACCCTCGGGTCAAGTTGGGTTTATCATTTAACCCAACCCACTGACATTCCTAATAACAGCTGAAGTGACTGAATCTAATGACTTATTACTTTGTATTTATGAATAAATTGTGCAGGAGGTAGCAAGTTTCTAGCTGAATTGGTATGATTACCGGTAGGAGTGGAAATTGGGTCGGGTTGTATTGGGACTTGGGAACCTGTGAAGTTTTCAATAGGCCTGAGTCCTTTCCCGAGCTCAGTGTAATTGAAATTGTTCACCCAACTTGCAGCCTAAAGGACAACAGAATAAGTCATTGAGTTCAACTATTTTGTCTTTTATCAAACCATTCCTCAGTCTTCACGTGATGACATGTGGGCTATTTGACTTTGTTCTCCACTGGCCAATAATCCTCTCCTTCTGATGGGTCAATGGTATGAAGACAATTTTCAGTAGTTAAGTTCAAATGGGACTCGAGGTTGGTATGACATGAGTAGTTCTGACTTCTTTCGTTATGTGTGGAATCAAGAGCAGCTAGGTGGTATTGGATCTTCATTTGTTTTTGACAAATGGCGAACACACTTGAATGAATTCTTTCTTATTTGAAACTACTGAATGTACACATATATATAATTTTACAATGTCGGTGATACATCAGTTATCAACTTACCTCCACGTGACAAGATTAGTTGCAGCGTATAACAAACTGACATAAGTTGTGATGTAGTAGAGATGTGGCAAAGTTCCATAGCCTTGGATTATGCTCTCAAACCAAATGGTAGTTTATGTCGATGTATTTGGTGCATTCGTGAAATACCGGATTGGTGCCAATGTGTGGCTATCGTAGAAAAGTTGAACTGGTTGAGAGCAAGGTAAACCAAGGTCGCGGAGAATACGCTATAATCATAAAACTTCTTCACTGGTGGTAAGGGCCATGGTATTCTGCTTCTAAGGAAGACCAAGCAACAATAACTTGTATCTTTGTTTTCCATTAAATGAGTGAATTACCCAGTAAGGTAACATAGGATGTTGTTAATTAATCTTCTTGTGGCGGGGCAAGAAGCCCAATCAGAACCACAATAGGCCCTTAATGTAAGATCATTTTGAACAGAAAAAAATATATTATGATGAGGAGCCCCTTTATGTATGCGAATGACAAATTTGGCAGCCTGCATGTGTTCTTCACGTGCAGCACTAAGATGTTGAGTGAGGAAATGAACAGGGTAGCTTAATTCAGGCTGAGTGATAGTCAACTAAACAAGTTGGCCAACAATGAAATGATGTTGCTCCATAGGGTGGGAGACTATTTTATATTCAATTATGCTTGCTTTAGATATGATATCAGCAGCATACTTGTGTTGATAGGCATATCCCAGCAGAAGAAGTCCTTGTGATCTCTAGTCCAAGGAAATAATGAAGATGGCCTAGGTCTTTAAGCTAAAAACATCCATCAAGATATGACTTCAAAGCATGAATTTGTGAATGATTATTACTGGTAATAACCAAGTCATCAATGTTGACAAGAATGGCTACAAAGGAATCTCCCTGTGTTGATGTATAGTGAGAGTAGTCAGTAATAGATTGTACAAATCCAATCCTTTGGGGGTAGATGCAAATTTTTCAAACCAACAGCGAGAAGCCTGCTTTAGGTCGTATAATGACTTTTGTAACTTGTAAATTTTGTTCTTCTCTTATTTGGGGAATCTTGGGGGAATGACCATATAAACTTATTGGATAAGTCTCCATGCAAGAACGCATTGTTGACATCAAATTAGTGTAGCTCCCATCCTCGTATGACAATTAAAGACAACAAGAATCGAAAAGTGACAAGTTTCACCAAGAGAGCATAGGTATCATGATAATCATAACCTTCAATCTACGTGTAGCCTTTGGCTACGAAACACACCTTATACCATTCGATTGTTCCATCAGCTTTATACTTAATTTTGTACACCGTTTACAACTAATTGGATGCTTATATTGTCAGGTGGGAGGTCAACAATAAACCATGTCTTATTCTGTTTTAAAGCAACAATTTCTTGTAACACCAATTTGGGTCACAAGAGGCCTGGCTATATGAAGTAGGTTCCACATGGGCTTGCGAACCAATGATGGAGAGGGAAGTGGGTCCATGGCAGATGTAGTCACGAAGATGGGATGGTGGGCGTTGAATCTGTTGAGGTCTAAGCGGAGAAGCAGGTTGGTGGTTTAATGGATTTGGTATTGTGGTTGGCCTAAACTCAAATGTGCCAATCTCATGAATTATAGACCCATGTTCAATAAGGCTGATTTCGCTCAGCTTGATCTAGCCTATGCTTAAGTCCATTAACGGTATGAGGAGTTGCGATGATGTCAATATGAAAATATCTTCTGATAGAAGGTGACATCTTGGGAAGTAAATAAATTACCTATAGTCAAGTTATAGACACGAACACCCAAATGTTTTTGGGCATAACACAAACACCCAAATGTAYAAAGATGGTCATATGTAGGTGGTCTACCGTACAATAGCTCAAAAGGGGTTTTTCCATTCAAAGGTTTAGGTTGAAGGTAATTAAGTATATATGCAGCAGTTAGAACACACTCTCCCCAAAATAAGACAAGTAAGGAAGCATGAAATTGAATTGCCCAAGCAACCTCTAAAAGGTGACAGTGCTTCCTTTCAACAATTCTATTTTGTTGTAGAGAATTAATACAAGAGTTTTGTTGAATGATTCTATTAGAGGAAAAACTTGTTATAAGGGGATAGAAAAAAAAAAAATTCTTTTCCATTGTCTGACCGGACAACTTTGACTCTTTGATCAATTTGGGTATGAACCATGTTGTAAAAGGATACAAGTTACTGGTAAGTCTCTAACTTATGCTTCAAGAGATAAATCCAAGTGTAGTAGCTGAAATCATTAACAATGCTAAGAAAGAACCCGGTGCTAAAGATTGAAAGAACATGATATGCTCCCCATATGTCATAGTGTATGTGACCAAAAGGTGCTAAGGCTCCTGTAGAGATTATTGGGAAGGGGACACATGCATGCTTCGCTCGTTCACATGCATCACAAGAATCCTTAATTTAGGAAGAAAAAGTCCATCAGCACAAACTAATAGTTGTTGAGCGGAAGCATGGTTGAGGCGATTGTGCCATAACCGGTATACTCCATTAGTGCTAGAAGACAAGATAGTAGAGGATGTATGTTGAGATAGACGGAGGTAGTATATGTCATTGTGCAACTTTCCTTTACTAATTACAGAATGAGAGACTGAGTCATGTATCGCATAACTTCCAGAAGAGAAGAATACAATATATTGTAACTGAGATATTAGCTTGTTGATCGATAAAAGATTATGCCTAAAATGAGGAACATAAAGGACATTAGTGATGGTCAGTCCAGGTTTCAAAGTAGAACCATCAGGTAGATTAATTATAAATTGTTGAATTAAGGGGTTCAGGCTGAAATAACAAATCCTTGTTGAAAGTTATGTGATCTGATGCTCCAGTGTCTAAGATCCAAGATGTTAGGCAGGTAAAAGAATCCTTACCAGCCATTTTAGTTGTACAAGACGTTACAGTATTGTTGGTAAACAACCTCAGAAGTTGTGTATACTGCTCATGGTGGATATCGGCAATTGTTCTTGTTCTTGTTTGACTTACCCTTTTTTCAAACTTTTGGGTAATCAATTAATTCGTAGCAATGATCTTTGGTGTSGCCTTGCGTCTTGCAATGGTCACACTTGTGTTTTGATTTGATGATCGTTGAACAAAGGCATTGAAAATAGCTACTTCTGGAGTGAAAGAGCTTTTCTATGAAAGTTATGATGACATAGAGAAAACAGAATAGGGATGTGAAAAAAAAAAAACAAAGGAACCTCCAAGAGATTTACAGTGGCGAGGACCGTCAGAAAGACAGTGGGAACCACTAGAAAATTTGCAGCAATGAGGACCCGAAAGCAGTGGCAGTGGAAGCAGTGATTAGAGCCTAGACAATTGAGGCTCTAGCACCATGACAAATGGCAAATAGATTTCAGAAATGTGAATGAATTCTTTCTTATTGGAAACAATTGAATGTACGCACACAGATATATATATATATATATATATATATATATATATATATATATATGTAGTTTTACAATGTCAGTGATACACCAGTTGTCAACTTGCCTACCACGTGGCAAGATTAGTTATAGTGTATAACAAACTGATATCAGCTAGCAGTTTTCTATAGACTTAGATGAAGAAATACAATACAAAGTGTTGTACGCAAGGATGAGTTTGGTATCATTGTTGTTTTTACCAATACAAAGTGGTGAAAAACAAGTATTGTGAGATACATGTAGGACGTGTGTATAGATAATATTAATAATAAAGTGAGGATAAAAATATAAAATTTAAGAGAGAACAATTTAGTTTTAAGAAATCAAAAAAATTGAGAGAATAATTTAATTATAGAAAAACAACAATTATGAAAGAAAAGTAAAAGAAAAAGGAGAAAATTGGACTTATAGGTGGCGACTCCAAACTCCATGCC